GGCCGGGGCTGCGCCGAGGCCCCGGGGAGCCGGGGGGGCCCGGCGCAGCGCTAGCCGGGGGCGCCATGGCCACCCCCCGGCAGCGGGTGCTGGCCGCCATCCGCGCCGAGGTGAAGCGGCACGAGGGCGCCAAGCAGCACCTCAACAAGCTCATCCGGCTCGTGGAGAGCGTGGCCGAGCCCCGGCTGCGCGCCAGCCTCGCCGCCTCGCTCAGCGTCCTGCAAGGTACCCCCGCCCCGCCGTGTSCCCCCCGCCGCCGCGTCCCCACCGTGTCCCCTCATCCTGGACCCGCTGTGTCCCCCCAGCCCGGCCCTGCTGGGTCCCCTCCGGTCTGGACCCGCCGTGTCACCCCCAGCCCAGACCCGCCGTGTCACCCCCGGCCTGGCACAGCCGCCGGGAGGGGATGGAGGGATGGAGCGGCCGGCGGGTGACGAGGTGGGAGAGGCAGCCCGAGGGATCTGCTGCTTCCCGCTCCGGGCACGGGGCCGCCGCGGTGCCGTGGGGGACGTCGGGGGGACACGGCGCTCCCGGGGGGTTGTGGCCTCGGCGCTCGCCTGCCCCATCGGCTGCATCCTCAGGTGCCAAGTTCCTGTGGATGCTGGGAATGGGCAGGGGGGCCGGGACACCCAACCGAGGCCCTGTCCCGGTCTGGCACCCTGGGGTCCCCATCGGGGCCAGGGTCTCACCCTGTGCTGAGCGCGGCCGGGTGGCGGCGGGGCCCAGCGAGCACCGTCCCCCCTTGGGGCACCACGTGCCCTGGGGAGGGGGTCTGCGGGGGGGTATTTGGCGGGGGGGGGTTGTCTGTGCCCCCCCGCCGTGTCGGCCGCGGCATCGCGCGGTTTCCGCTGCGCTGCGGTCGCTGACGTGGCCGTTTCCTCACCTCTGCTGGCGCCGGGGGGGCCCCGTGCCCCCCAGCCGGGGCGCTGCGCCCCCCTCAAGGCACTCGCGGGGACCCCCCCTCCCCGGGAGCCACGTGGCTGGGGGCGGGCTCTGCTCCAGTGCCGGGATCCCCCCCGCTCCCTGTACCGAGCCCCCGCATCCCATGGTTGCCATGGCGACAGGATGCAGGGGGATGCCTTGTTGCTAGGCGCCTGCCATGCGGTACCCGGCGCTGGGGGGAGCACTTAGGGGGCAGGTAGCGATGGGGGGGTGGTAAAATGGGGTGAGGGGGGCGGATGGGGC